GCCAATTCTGTCCATTTTGTTCCAAAGGACATGAATCCGCCAAACTGTCCGGAGCTGCGCCCGGTGGAGCAGTACTGGGCAATAATGAAGCGGGAACTTCGAAAGAGCAAGAAGACAGTCAAAGACGAGAAGGACATGTTAAGAAAATGGAAAAAAAAACTGAGAAACTGGTAGCGGATGACACTGTAAAGACTTTGATGGAGGGCATCAAGCGAAAATGCGCTGAATTTTACACTCAAGGCTCCATCGATTAACTTTTCTTTTGATTTTTGAAGTAAATATATGTATAAAACTACCCTAAAATTTTGGTTTGATTCTAAACATTGTAAGAAAATTGGCATGACATTTTCGGTGTCGCAATAATTTCGTGTTCGCCCTTTATTGACAGCTCGTATTGGTATTGATTCAAAGAACACATAAGTTCGTTTAAGAGCGTTAGATCCAGCATAACAGTAACATCTTACCTTGGTTTCCTATTCAAATGGGACAGTTATGCGTTTATGGATAATATAGCTGATAGTAAAACAAGTTTCGAGTTTCCGGCAACTTGACCATCCATCTTGCGAGTCGCAAGTTTCGACTAGGTATTTCAAGTGGTATTTTGCAGTATTATACTCAAACCTTGAAAGTTTCAAGCATCGTAATCACAATAAGGCCTCAGATAGCCTAGTCAGTAAAGGCCCGGTATCACAAAGCCTTAAATTTAAATATTACATCCAAGTGGATGCACTTCAATCATGTCGAAATTTTTTTGTAATAATAATGCAGTAAAAGCAGCGTAATGTCAGTTCATGCACTGTATTAATGATAATTTTGTCCTTTTTAGCAAATAATATTACACCATATTTTTGCCACGATTGAAGTGCATCCACTTTGATGTGATAGGGGAAATGGATGTAATGTCGGCCTATATGCCCTTAATTTGGGCCCATAAGTACATAAATTTAGCAATCGACTAAATTTTCAATAGCTTCCAAAAAATCCATTAGTACCGTCTCAATGACGTTCATCTAGATAAAATTGATAAAAAGCATATTTTTAGCGATGGGCCCAATCTTAGATCCATAGGCCAACTTTAGAGCCATTTCCCCTATGAAAATTGAATTAGTATAACTGCACATAACCTATGTGGAACTTTTCAAAAAATATTTTTTTTTTTTTGAGATGTGATGTGGACATTGACTTTTCAAACCAAATGGAACAGTTTTCAAACCGCCGAAAGAACCAAGGGGAGAGTTAAATTATTCCATAAAAATGCGTTAATTGCACATAATTGCACACAGAGCAGCTTTAATGCTCCTTGAATTACCATAAGTGCCCGAGAGAACATAGAAGGAGGTAAAAAGGTTTTGGATATGTCGAATATGTCGATTAATTAATGTTAGTCTTCTTCCGCAGGACTAGTCAAAGATGTCGAATCGATTACCGTTTCAATATTTAACAAATCCAAACCCCGTTGGTAATCATCATTGCTCATCATTCATTACCACTCAAAGTAAGAGCAATTTTTACTTTTTACGGTAAACAACAGGTGACAGACAATTTTCGTGTTTTTTAGGTTAGCCTCGATATATTTTTCAAAATATATTCTCTGGTGCTTATGTCAAATAAGTATACTTAGGCTGTTTTCCATTTGCTGAATTTCAACTTAAATTTTACAGATGGAAAATTTACTAACAACCCTGCTATAGACTTATTTCTGACAGGCAAGAAAAAAACAGTCAATCAACAACAGAGGAATTTTTGAACATTTAATGTATTTTCAAAGTGTCAAATTTAAGTGAAAAATGAAACAGCCTTGATCGATAATATTTTTACGAGAATTTGTATGCAACTCACTGGACAGAGGTCTTTTGCAGTGAGAGGAGTCAGGGGAATTTCATAAACTATGTAGGTCTGGTAATTCTGTATTCACGGTAGTGTGTTTTAATCTCTCAAAACCTGTCTGTAAGGTTTATGGACAGTCTCTAACTTCCACACCCAACCGGGGATATAAGATTTGCTTCCAATTATGTGGGATTCATCATCGCAGGATGTTAGTGGATGCCCAAGCAACAATTTTGACTATATGTTTTTAGTATTACTTCTACGTGAAGTCAACGATTTACATAGTTGAAGATGCTAATTTCAAATAACAGACTGTAGTGGTAATTTTTATACGATAGATGGAGTAGATGAAAGCATAGAGTTGATAGTTCCGTTAGAGTACGGCAGTGTGAAGATTGTATATAGATATTAGAATAGCGAACTAGGACAACTTTTTAAGGAAGGTACAAATCGGTTTTTTCATCTCTCTTTACCAAACTCCCCCTTTGGAGAGGGATGGTGAGGGGTGTCCCCTCCGCCACCACTGGCAAAAAGAGATGAAAACCGACCCGTTCAAGTACCAACTGTGTGTTTGAAACAGTTCTACCGATTTTTACCGCACTTCAATTGTTATTTGAAGGAAGGCATCCAGTCGTAGGTTTGGAAATTGCAACTATTGTTTACCCCTACCACGATATGTGCTCCTGTCATCGTCGACTTGACGATCTCGAGGGGACACGGGTGGGGTAGGTGTTGCTACTGTACATTTCGACCATTGACAGTAATTGATGGTATGCTCCCATCCAGAGTTATGTACTTTGACTATATGTTTTTAGTATTACTTCTACGTGAAGTCAACGATTTACATAGTTGAAGATGCTAATTTCAAATAACAGACTGTAGTGGTAATTTTTATACGATAGATGGAGTAGATGAAACCATAGACTTGATAGTTCCGTTAGAGTACGGCAGTGTGAAGATTGTATATAAATATTAGACAAGCGAACTAGGACGGGGGAGGGGGGACACCCCTCACCATCCCTCTCCAAAGGGGGAGTTTGGTAAAGAGAGATGAAAAAACCGATTTGTACCTTCCTTAAAAGTTGTCCTAGCTCGCTTGTCTAATATGATGAGTGGATCGATGGCGATGCTTGCTATGGCTCGTCGTATAACGGGCCAAAAGGTTATCGCTTGCCATGCCTGAAAACCGAGGGGCTCTGCAACAGGTAGCTAATGGCTACCATCTCTACTCGAAGGGTATTGATACCGCACAGTAATGTATCGTAAAAACTAAATAAGGCACAAGAAAACAAATGATGAAAAAGACATACGTTTCATCGTCCATCAGGATGCATCCGTTGAATTTGGTCAGCACCTGGTCATACAGCTTTCGGGTCCGCGTTTTGGCCGTAATGTTATGCTTTACGGTCCGGTTCGGTTGCTTAATAGCCTGATACGTGAAGAAACCTTCCCGAGTGCGTATATTCCGAACTTTACTGTGAACAGCACTGAGTTTGTTGGCCACATCCACGTCAGAAAGTCCTGGATTCGCTTTGAAAGCTTTCATGACGTTTTCACGCGGTTTCCGGTCCACTGTACCCCTTCGACGCCTTAATTACAGAAACGGACAAACTTTCCTAGAAACGTTTCAGCACTGCACAGACGGTGGCTTTGTCCATTTTCAACTCCTTTGGGATCCTCGTACCCGACCATATCGGGTATTTATGCAATATTAATTCTCTTCTTTTTTCATCCATCGTGTGGCAATTCAAGAAAACATAATTTTATTTAAATTTTTGCACAGGATTTCAAGAGAATGACATTGTAAACAAATTTCTATCCAAATATTCCAGAACTGACTACTAAGAGTGCTGTAGCGGAGAAAAAAAAAAGCGTACCGATTCTAAATTTACAGGGTTTTATATGCAGGATCTAGGTAAGGTTGCTTCTTTGGTGTTGATGTTTGGCTCATATGAAGAAGCAGACGTATTCAAATAACGATGCAAGTTTTCAGATTTTACATGTTTGTCAGCACATCGCACATCGTCTAGAGCCGCTGGAAATTCCTGCACAAATTTCTGAAACGTAAAAGCACATACAAACAGACGTTACTCTTCATTCTGAATCATCGTTTGCGCATTTAACGATTGGTTTAATGGTATCATTTCCGCGAACTACTCGCCACTGTGCTGGCATCGGATCACTTTGACGTTTCTTGTATGCAACATTGTTTGTGAATCAGCAAGAAAGCTTGTTTTCCACGAGAAGCCCGTGAGATGTCGTTACTGCAGTCCTATGTTTGGCGGTACTATGTTTTAAAGATAATTGTATTCAAAGAGTTATATCTGTTTGACCTCTTGAACTACCATGATAGTAGGCATGAGCGACTTTTTGTTTATTTTTTAATATGACAGAACGATGTCCGAATTATGCCAGTTATAACAGTAAAAAAACAGTATCACTTTTTGAAAGGCATTTTATTGGTTTCACATAAGTTATATTATAACTGGCAACCATCAATATAGTATTGGTGAGCCTGACATAAGAAGTAAAATACCTTAAATAGTACGACAAAAATATACTACGAATAACGAACCAATAAATAATGTAGCTATTACATTAACTGACGGATAACAAACGCCTTTTTTATGCCAGAATACCATAATTTGTTATTTAAACAGTCTTCTATAGTAATACCAATCGAACAACTCGTTTAGGAGTTATTATTTAAAAACTGAAAGATCACGTTTAGTTATTTTGCAATTTATTTGAATTTTTTTCAAAATATTTTGATAGCTGAAAAATATCCCACAAGCATACCAAAATAAGGTATGTAATACTCATTAATAATAATAATATGTTATCGGTTCTTGCTGGTGTAAATTTCAACTAATGATCGAATGACCGAAGGAGGGTTAAATCCTCTTTAATAAAACACAAAACCATACATACCTAACTAATGAACGTCCAGCACATTGTGAATAAAAGATTTTGCAGTCGTCTAAAGAGGGAAATCTGATAAGTACAGATAATAAATGATAATATTTCTCAGCATATTTTGCATTCACGCGCATGTGGGTAACTGATGAAATATATGGAACACAGGCTCTGCAATTGTAGGTATTTCATATCTCAATATTTTCCTCTTTTTTATTTTCATTTCATATCTTCTATTGTTGGAACCGTACCTGCAGCTGCAAACGAAAGGTGACACCAAGATGGAAATCAGCTTTATCCTTTGCGCCATTTATCTACTGCTTGGCATGGCACTGATAGCCATGTGCTTCAATCTGATGCAGGTAAGTTTCCATAATATACTCCTACGCTTTAGAAAAGACGACTATGAATAGAGTTTGCGCCAGCAGTACGTTTTTTTTGTCATTTATGAAATATCCACGACGCAGTTATATGATGAGGTTGAATGCAGAGATACATTTTTCTACGAGAAGTGCACATTTATTTTTATGAGAACTGGTCATCTTTTTCAAACAATGACCCTTTTCTACCGCTTCCTAGCGCAAAATTTCAACTACTGTTCTTAATGTCTGTGTTGTCATGACTTTCAATTAATCATATTGTCGAGCAGTTTTGAGACAACCTTCTAACAGATTTTAAGAAAATGAAGCAATAATTTCCAGATTTTTTTAGCATAGCATAAATAAGACACTATTTTTTCAAGGTTCTAGAAGAAATGTATTCAAAATATTGTTCCACGGTAAAGTTCGAGTAGTAGGAAACGTTATTTTGAACTGCTTGAATGCTGTGCCATTGAGCTGTGCATATGCCTTGTTCATACTACAGTCTAGTATCATACAAGTTTGCCAAAAAGTCAATCTCACGGAATCGATCTATTTTTGATTTAAATTATCGATTCACCGATTAAATCAATTTAATTTAAAATTGATCTCTTTGGATCACTTCGTTTTTTTCAAAATGGTGTAAAAACGCTTGAAGTACAAAAATAATGTGGGATTTATAAGGGATCAGTTAAGACGTCATCAGTTTTTAAAGTGATGAGCGTGCACGATGGGATGAAGTTTGTCAAGGGGCTCTGCTAAATTAATGTCGTTATCAATATGATAAGCGGGGAAGGAGGTATGAAAGGAGCCTATTACGGTGGCACGTTCGGAGGCATGTTTTCATGTGGAAAATTATCACTGGGACTAATTTTTTCCTTGATTAGTTTTCCCCTAATCTTGTACCAATGCTATCAACGCCATGAAGGCTTACCACTACACCTCCTGCGTACTGGGACTAATTAAGTAGCATATCAAAAGTAAGCTTTTATCGTTAAAATTTAAAGCTGGCGCAAGAGGTCTAAGTCCAAAATATTGAACGATGAACATTTCGAATGAAACATTAAATATATAAGTAACCGCTAGGCTGGGTCACTGTTATCTGGAGAAATGCTAAATACCTCACTAAGCAAGAACAACTGTGCAAAATTTTGGGACGATTGGTTGTAACCCGGATTTCCACATTGTGTTTGAAATTTGAATAAAATTAATATGTAAAAATATAGTTTAAGAAGCACCTAACAACATTGCCAAAGAAAATATGGGGCTAGAATGTCTCAACAAAAGTTATAACTGTTCAAATATGTATGATTTGAATTAAATGCCGCAAATCACTTTTCCTGCCAACACTGCCGGTGCCGGTGTACCAATCAAAGTAAGATTCCAAACTGAAATAATTTCGAAGCATCTTATCCTTTCGATTTGGTATGTTCAGATGAATCATTCAAATACAATTCCTCAATGTCATAAGCGTAGTAAGAGAGGGGAGGGGAAGGGGCTTTCTATACGTAGTTTTGGAATCTAAAATTATTGTAGCGTAAATATGTAATATCCACTTGTCCGTACAGATGTTAGTGAGGTGATGTTGTTTGAATTATTAGCAGTTGGGTCATTTTAAATATCAATATATAGCTTTAATTTGAATTACAAAACTACCATTAGGGCCAACCCTATATAAAACACAAAAGGAGTCCTACGTCAAAACCCAAAAATAGGAGATAAAAAAAACTGTCTTCACGGATTTCGTCTCAGACACAGGTAAAGTCGGATTTCGCTAGTTGGGCTATCTTTTAAGTGGGCTACGTTTTAGCTGGGTTGCAGCCCTACCAAATCAATGTCAAACGATAGCGGCGCCGGTGGTGTAGTGGTAAGCGTGATTACCTTTCACCCCAGCAGGCCTGGGTTCAATCCCAGTCGGAGGGAAGTAAAGCCGTTGGTCCCCGGTTCATAAGTTGATGAGTCAATAGTTAGGGTCCAGGTGTGGGAGCTGCCTCCCTGGCGTCAGTAGCATTGGTGCTCAGCACGGAAAACAAGATCGACGGAAAACAAACCAAAGGAAAAAAAAAGTCAAACGTTATTTCTGACAGTGCTGATTCCTTTTCGAAATTTCGATCGATGTCAACGATTGTCAACGATGTGGCTGAACGAGGCTAATTTCTGACTTTATCAAGAAATCCACCAGAAACCCAGTTCAACAGCAATATTTGCTTCTGGTGATTAAACAGCATCGTAAAGAGTACCCTGAGAAATTGTAGAATATATTAAACTGAAATATAATCATTACAATTCAATGACATTTCTGTGAATACGTCTGACATTGTATTTTACACTAAAAGAGTATGGAAGGGGGTGGTGGAAATCACTTTCAAACTGCTCTTTTGAGATTGAGCAAAGGTTTTTGAACGAACAATTGGAGAGATGGTAAACTCCGAAGTTATTTCAATCCTTATCTCTACTTTCATTGATATAAGTGAGGGGATGGAAGGGATACAGTAAGCCCACCCCCATATCCAACTACGCCTATTAAATGGAGCTAATGTTTTTGAATACATCTGAATATACCAACTTGACAAGATCAGCAACACCAAAGTTATTCAGATAGAAGTTTTACTTCCATTTATACAAGTAAGGGGGTGGGGGTACAGTAAGGCCTCCCAACTCTCTAATATTTATGTCTATGAGATTAAGAAATTATTTTACGATACGATACGATAACTTTTCCTCAGATGCATTTTCCGGTGTTTGTTTTCAACTGGAGGTTTCACAAATAATTTCTGATCATAAATCATTTTCCTTAAAAAATAACACAGTTGTTAAAATCATCGACTACAAATTAAGCAAAAGAATGGAACGAATTCACTTTTTGTATATTTTTCAAATGTTTTACTTCATGAATCACAGCTCAACACTCTATTGAGACCTTATTTCAGATGTAACATAAAGGAATAATCATTTGAAATACTTCATGCCTTTGCATTCTCTACTTGCATAACCCCTATGGTTTGCCTCATCAAGCGGTGCATTTTAACCCAATGTTGTGGTGCGTTTTGGCCATTGTTTTCGTGCGTCTTGCCCCAATGTTATGGAGCATATTGCACCATGAATCAGGCCTTTTGCCCCGCTATCGATGGATTGGAATTAATGCAAAGAAATACCTTGAAATTCATAAAAAAATCAACGTTTTGTAGTTCGAAATCACTCGATCATCGATCATGAACCATACTCCATCACTTTCTCCTTGATTTTAGCTTCCATACGCCAGCAATTGACGATTTTGCAGGAAGAGGGGGCAAAGCTTGTGTTTGACACATAATCAATTAGCAATTAGCTATAACGATGAGCGCTCACTCATCGATATTGTTCATTACAGTTAAAATCGCTCTGTGACCCTCTGCAAGCAAAACTAGCAGGTTTTATGTGTCATACACAAAGTTTACCTCCTCTTCTTGCATTTAACATATAAAAAATATTATTGTAATATCGACAGGCAAAAAATTGGGCATTTGACTTACTCATATACTGTCTGCGGCTGGAATAGTTCTTGCGACGTTTCATCGCTACCTAAAGCCATGTAGATGCCTGTAGACTTGAAGAAATACTTCAAGTCTCCTAACCGATTATTGTATGAGTTAGGTAAAGAAGTGTGCGTTTGACTAGTACTGTCGCATTAATGGCCCTTCGCTCATTTTCAACTTCCATTCAATTATCAACCTACCCTCTTCAGACCTTTCTCTAGCTAATAAATTATCACACTAAAGCTTCATGTTAGTTGTTCCAACCAACTGTTCACTGGTGTTTTTTTATGCCGACCCATTATTTTCATTTTTTTTTTGAACGCCCGTTAATTACCTACTTAGCGAAATGGTTCACGATTAGATTCGATTCAATAGTTTTGATTTGATAAATTAGTTTGGTTGTTTGACTTGAATTCGCGTGCACGATCATGTGTCTCCATAGTGTAGCTCTAATCTTGTCTGAAGGGTTTTTTCAAGCACTTTTCTTTGGTTCTGCTTAGTTAATTTTGTTATTTTTTTTAATGGTGTGAAACTGGTTCCCATTAAACTAAATACCTGGTATGGTTTCAAAAGAGCTACAAGGAACAAATTCAAGTCGGTTGAGAAAAACAACCCGCCTACAGCAAACATTCTTTGGCCGGATATTAACAGTACCAATGACCCTTCACTGGTAACCCGTTATAATTTACTTTCATAGATAAACTTGTGTAAAGAATGTCAAATGGCTAAAATCCATAGGATAATCCAATACATTACTGCCGATTTTTCCGCTCAGTGTAAGTGTCAATGATAATACGTAAAAAAATGCGATTTTCATCATAATAATCAAGATTGTTCATGTTCATCATTAACGTTAATATTAGTCTGGGTTTACATCATATCGTTGTGATCAATCAAATACATATTATGGAATATCGACAAAACGCCATCTCTAACGAATGCGTTCACCACCTCGTAGATGTAATCAAAGCCGAAAGAGAAACATTCACAATCGACGGAAATACTATTAGCAAAAGCACATGACGTTTCTGTTGATGAGAGAAAGTTTTCCAACAATTGCCTGCGATTAGATTCGTCCCGGATCAGAAGCAACTTATAGTTACTGTACAGAAAGTTGTTCCTGTATATTCTGCCCTTGCAGCACCGCTGCAAAACGAGTTGAAGTTTCAGCATATGTACAGATCGAAACTATTCTGTTTCGTGACACCGGTGTGAGTTCTCAACGAGAATTCATTTGACGTGGTTTAATTCCAAAGGTGAAGAGAAGACACTTCTGCTTATTAGCTGAGTTAACGTTTTAGGAGATGACTATTATTGAAACCGTCATGGTTTTATGTTCGGCTAATAAAATGCTGTAACTACACTAGACAGTAATTCAGATGAGACGGAGTTTTCAAAATTCTGCAATCACAGAAAAGATCTTGAATAAAACTGATTCATAATTCGAAATTTGACAGATTTTCAAACTCTGTAAAAAAAAATTAGATGAATGACTGAAAACTAATGATACCCTGGAACTAGTGACAATTATTCATTCAAGAACAAGTCGGGTCACTAGTGTTAGTAAAAAAATAAATAAATGCACAAACTAAGACTTATTCTCATGAGGGGATGAAGTTGTAACAAAAATCAGGATATGACATATTTCAGAGTCCATAAATTTTTTTTCAAAATTTTCTAATTTCTAAATTCTATGACCAAGACACTAAAAATAAAATTTGTTATTTCACTTTCCTTTTCATCATTCAAACATGAACAGTTTAGTATTGTGCAAGATTGATCTCACTGACTTGATATATGTTTGTTTGAAATTATCGATTCACTTGGTACAATCATTATTATTTATTACCGATTATTTTTTATTTTGAAATTGGTGGAAAAATGCTTGTAATACAACAATAAAGCCAGATATTTTTAATGTCCGTTCATGTGTCATAATTTGTATATTGTTGAGCGGAGGTTGGAGTACGGCAAGGTTCCCAGAACTAACCTGTCACAGAAATCAAATGAGTGGAGTAGGTTATAAAGGGCATTTTACTATAACGAACCATATTTTTTTTGTTTTATCGGAACTGAAATTCGATTAATAAAAATCGTCTAATCGAACCAAAAGAACCGATCTTCCGAGAATCGATTCAAAATAACCCATTACTAGCTGGAACACGTCCTAAAGTAGATAATGTGGCTTGGGAAGCTAGTCTAGAGTATTGTTGACCCGTTGGTGAAGAAATTGTGAAATTTCATGTTTTTGGAAGATTTGTTATGCGTGGCAGTGGCGTGACCAATAGCAAAAATATTCCAAAGCATGTGCATGTACCTGCGTTTTCGATTTGGAACCGAGTTTGTATAATTGGATGCAGTGGTTGCTGAGAAACATGACTGTAGTAGCACACTTGTCACACAACATTTGAGGTTACTTTTATGTAACTAATCTATGCCATAAAAATTAGCTGCAACCTCTTGTTTCAGAAATTTGCTATTTGGATAATTACTTTATTTCATAACACGCATACACACTAAGGTGGTTCTTGCTGTTTTTTTCTTAAGTGAAATTTGTTCAACTACAACTTTTCGATTGCACGTCAGGATAATTTTTATTGCTGCCTAAAAATACTTACAACAGATTGGGATATATTGTACATCTGTCGGAGCTAAAGTTTGGCGAAAGTTGCCTCCAGGCATACAAATCATGGTCGAACGCTTAGCCATAACTAGCCAGTACCTCTATTATTAATTTCAAAATACAACAAAACATATTGACCATGAAAGTACTACTGCATTGTCCACCGAATACAAAAGGAAATAATTGGACTAATAAAACCACCTCCTCTATTTACATTACATTGGAAAACTACCATTCCGAAACCACATCAACCGGATGAACACATTGCCGTTAAATTGTTTTTGCCTCCGGTTTTTACGTGCGTGCCAAACATTATAATCGTAAAAGTAACCTCCTTACAGCTGATGAGGTCGTTTTTGTCACCCAACAAATTTCATCGAGATGAATGAGGAGTAACTTAATTACTGTCCACACCTACCTAACTCGAACTTGGCTTAATGTTTAAATATTTTTTTTTTTACAGGAACAAGTCATCTATAAAATACGATCCCTGAAGAAATGTGTCCGAGGTTGTTTCCAATGCAAGAAAAATGCTCCACAACCCAGCGAAGAAGAGTCTGAAGGCTGAGCAGAATCAAATTCTACATCGAGGCTAGTGAAAAGCACGGAAAACACACTGCAAGCAGCGTAAGAAGGAAGCAATCTGGATTTTTTCTAACGTTCGGTTTAGACGATTCAGTTCGGAGTTCAACTCACTTGAAAACTCACAGAAAAATGGTCAATATGGAGCTTTTTTTTATTCGCTTCCAAGTCACTTGAACACTGACCATAAAATCGGGTGTGATTTGAATCAAAACACTTACGTCTTCACTGCTAAAAGCATCTCCCGTATAAAGTTTTCCGCGAACCAATTCTAACCGTTACTTGATAAGTCGCAGCGATTAAAGACAATGTGAGACAGTTGTTAAGTTTAATTTTCCTTGTTGATGTAAATAATTATCTACCAACCTTTCTTTATCTAATCAATTTTCAGAGTGAGTAATTTAATTGATAAGTACATACGCTGTAAGGGAATTTCTGATCTTAACGATTGTTCAACATTCCAAAGGAAAACAAAAGTTCATTTTTGATAAGTGTTTTAACTCTACCCTGTATCACAACCCCATGGTGAATGCTAGAGGCTGAGAAACTACAAAAAAAAACTTGTGTAAATTTCCGTGCCCTGAGACTGACATAAACGTGTGACTCTAGATTTGAAAATTTCTTCGGTTGGTGGTGCTTCGACCAGGCCTGAACATACTCATTACAGCTAAAATTCTATGTTTTGAAATTATGAAACTATGATATAATATAATAATAATTTGTATATGTAAGATGCAAGTAAAGGAGGTAAAGTGTGTGTATGACACATTAAATCTGTCAATTTAGCTTCCAGAGTGTCACAATTAGCGATTAGCTATAACGAATAGTGCTCATTCATGACGATTACTCATTACATAAATAAAATTTAATATAACATCCAAGAGGATGCACTTCAATCATGTCGAAAATCTCATGTAATTTTTATGACCACAACAATAAACAAATGCAGTAAAAGCAGCGTAATGTCAGTTTATTGGTATTAATGTTAATTTTGGTATATATATATATATATATTATTGGTATTAATGTTAATTTTGTCCTTTTTGGCAAGTAATATTAAACCATATTTTTGACACGATTGAAGTGCATCCACTTTGATGTGATATTAAAATTGATCTTTTGCTGTGTATAATGAGTATGTTCAGGCTTGGCTTCGACTGCCACACAATGAATGACATTAAGAAAATCGTAACAACGAAGATATACACAAAAAACGACCTCCGCGGAAGGCTCATCCATCATTATCGATCAGGATAGAGCATGACGTAACAAATATCGCACATCTTGACCACCATGCGCCACACTTTCGCGTCAGTAAGTTTATGTAATTAATCTGAAATTAATTAAACTGCCCTGAAGTTATCTGATGTCTCTTTTACATGCTAAAATATTTTTAATTGATTGGAACACGATTTCTCATGTGATATAAGGCGATTCCTTGTACAGTCCACAAATAGCCGCCAGGTAGGCTATACATGAACTTCCACTTCGAATTTTCAATTACACAAATCTCTGAAATCAGTGCCCCATTTCACCTGAAATTGCTACTTCATGTATGCTGCATGTGTCGTTTAAGCTTATATTTGTGCACTTAATGTTTTGAAGTGGTTCCGAGAATAAGTAAGTCACAGCGATTCATCTTAAGCATTGCTTTTGAAATTGACTACACAGTTTTAGTAATTCAGCGGATTTTTTTTCAACCGTTTGTTTATATCACTAAAAGTGGAGCAATATTTCTTCACTTCGAGAGTGCCTAGTGAAAAATGATTCCTTAATGTGTTTGGAAATGTAGGTAGGGTAGAGAACTACTTCGGCCTAATCGCCCATTTTGGGCCTATCGAGCAGAAAACTTCAAATTAATCCATGATTTCAGAGTTAACAAGTCAATTATGCGTTTGGTACGATACTTTAGTTAATAAGCTACGGAACGAAGTCAATGTGAACGCATGATATGAAGGTTTACACCCATTATTCCCAAAGCGCTCCGACCGAATCAATTTTTATCATCATTCGATAGGCAGAAGTGAATCCATTGGCGTTTCAATGTGTTAGGCCGAGTTTAGAATCCGTAGGCCGAGTTTGGCGTCAAGAAGCAGTGTTAGACTTTTGACAATAACTCAACGATTGGTTTCTCTTTATCAAATATTACGGTACATACGGAATGGTAAATAAATTTGGAAGTCATCAGTAATAATAACATTCCGTTTGGTGCTAAACTGCGCTAGATTAAGAAAGATTAAGTGTGGGTTGTGCTTAATAGGCCGAAAATGGGGTATTTAACCCTACCTGGCTTCTCTAGAACACATATGCCCATTCAGAAGGTGGCTCAATTAAAAAATAGCTGTGTGTATCTGATAGATGTATCAAATCTAATATCTAATGAGTTCAGAACATTTTTCATAGCACATTTGTACTTCGACGAAATAGTTTTCAAACATTTTTTTATGAGTATGCAATAGCTTAATTCCATTTAAGGGCGTTTATTTAATTTCTGAGCTGGTTTTGTTATGATTGAAAGAATTGATTCGCTTATCGGAGATCGTTACTCATGTAGTAATGGGTACGTATGGGTAAGTAATTATATAAGTTGAAATATTTGCTATGTGCAATTCATTTATTTGTAATTAGGTTGTATTTTGTGATGTTTATTTTATGTTTCCAACGGTAAATCAACTAGTGCTACAGCACCTTCACAACAGCAGTGAACATAGTATATTATAATGACATAGAATAATGAAGAGAATCAGCATTCCAAACAAGCTGAGGCCTCATTGCGCAACGAAACGAAGCATTTTTTGTATAAAAGGTTGTATCAAAAAGTTTGTCATTTCGACTTGTGAAATTAGGCCCCTATGCCTGGTTTATGCCTAAAAAAAAAATTGGTTTTTGATCAACGTTGAATACAACTTAGGTGACCGTTGTGGCGGGAGAAAGGGGGATACCCCACCATCCTTCTCCTACTGGGGAGTTTAGTAAAGAGAGATGATCAACCCGATTCGTACCTTCTGTTAAAGAATTATTTGGATAATGAGCCCTATTGAAATTATACAATAAGAATAGATTTATCTCTTTTTCTGGTGGCCCCCCAATTTCACCGCCTAGTGTTAGTCACAAATCCGAACACCTTCCAGTTGCCCTTGCTCGCTTTCTACTCTCAATATACAATTTTCACACTGCCGTACTCTAACGGAACTATCAACTCTGTACTTTCATCGCCTCATCTATCGTATAAAATGACCACTTTAAGTCTGTTATTTGAAACTAAGCATCTTCAACTATGTAGAAAAAATGATTAGGCGAAATCTTAACGAATTATTTTCTGGGATGCCATCGGTGATTGGCACAAACGTGGTGGAACAGATACCGACGGAAAATAACCAAGGAAAATATAAACTGTAAACAATCAGTACCTCTTTCTTTGGCATCAGCAAGTTTTCCTTCCGAATGGAATGGTGCCCTATCAACTTTGCATTCAAACTTAATGAATTACTTATCTCAATAATGAATAAATGATGTAGATGATTCGACAGTTATGAGACAATTGATGTTATTATGTCTCGTGATGCGAAAAACATCCGGGATTTGTTATAAAAGCTTCATATCGTCTTTTCCCTTTTCCGTATGTATGGTAGAACAGGGGACAAATGCACCCCGGGCAAAACGCTCGATTTGGTTTAGTATAGCTATTTCACTCTTAATTCTGAATTTTTCGTTGTTCCGAAATGCTAGTTTAAGTTTAAAACTAGCTCTGTGGCTTGTCAAATTTATGAATTAAAAACGGGAATGCTATGAAAACTCGCATCGGGCGTTATCACTCGGGGTGCATTTTGGGCTGTTTTCCCCTATGACTTTACGACATCATCGAGGACATGCTCCACACTAGAATTGTGTTGACAAAACAAATGAAAAAGAAGAGTGGACATATAAATGATTCAAGTGGGGCCAACCGGACTCTTCTAACATGGCGATGTATGTGTGCGGCAGAATCAGAAACAGAAAATCACGGACAGGTCTTTCCCTGAAAAAATCGCATTTTATTATAACGATTTATCGCAGAACCGCAGCGAACGGGCAGACGGGCAGGAAATATAATGACCCACTTGATTGAACTGACTCAGCCGAGAGTATGCTTACAATAGATTCTACTCTCGTTCGTCCGTTGTTGAGGCAATTGATTGCTGGATGGATTGCGGCTACACGTCCGATGAGAGTAACTTAGTAACAAAGTCGAATTCAATTCAAAATTTAAAAAAGTAAATTTTCTTCAATTTTCCGGGAAAAACTGCTTGAATATGAGAAAAATCCACTGTAATTTTACTCAGCCTATTAGCTTGAATATGAGGAAAATCGAGGAAAATTTTACTCATTCACTGAGGAACTCACTGAGACAAATTTGACTCAATTTTGAGTTACTCTCATTGGCCGTGAAACAGCAAGTGATTCCTTTTGATCATTTCAAGTTGATTCCTACTCACTTGGGTTTCCCATCGAATGGCCAGCAAACTTGATTATTTCGATACACTATAGTCTCGTTCTTCCAGTGCTATTCAATCTACAGTGATAATGATAATACTGTAAGAGCATCGTACAATCTACGTGTTGTTTTGATATTTGTAGGCATTAATTATGTCGAAACAGTGAGTACCGTACTTGTTCCGTAAACTCTCGCTTACTCGCCACAATAATATAAATATCCACACCCACGTCACAGAATAGGGCAGAATAAATATGTTAGAAAATGTGAATATTCCTGTGTTTTCATACTTTGTATCGCTTCTCTTGATCACCCGGTAGTAGTAGTAGTAGTAGTAGTAGTAGTAGTAGTAGTAGTAGTAGTAGTAGTAGTAGTAGTAGTAGTAGTAGTAGTAGTAGTAGTAGTAGTAGTAGTAGTAGTAGTAGTAGTAGTAGTAGTATTAGTAGTATTTATTTATTTATTTATTTATTTATTTATTTATTTATTTATATGACTGAACATCAACAGGCGTTATTTGCCCCAATGATGTAACTTAAACTAAACATCTTCTTCTTCTTCTTCGCATTTTAAGCTTATTGCATATCGCATATTAGCTTATTGCGTGCTCTCAACTTAGTGTTCTAGATGCACTTCCACAGTTATTAATTGAGAGCTTTCGATGCCTGTACCATTTTTGCATTGGAATAATTGTGTGGCAAGTCCAATCATACTTCTATGCCCAGGGAAGTCGAGAAATTTTCCAACCCGAAAAATTCCTAGACCGGACCGGGAATTGAACCCAGCCACCTCCAGCATGGTCTTGCTTTGTAGCTTCGCCTTTACCGACTGAGCTAAGGGAGGCCCCAAACATGAAAAGTACTAAAACAAAACATCAATAAGTACATAGATAGTCTCATCTCGTAAAAAAAAGTAACATTACTAAACAAACTAAACTAATCTAGAAAAAACGAACTAAACCTCCGGCGAAGCAGCTGGCGAGTCAGGTCAAAATCAAACAGTGCGGAGACCCTATTGAAGAGTCTCTGTAAACCACCGATTGCACCGAACATGCTATAATTAGTTCGCTGTATGGGCAGGCGCAGCATTGAATTATTCCGTAGGGCTCGTGGTTGAACATTGCTGTCAATTTG